CAGCAATATGTTTTGAAAACAACAGATGCTAGAATTAGTACTTTAAAGTTTTACATGGGAATTGTAGCGAAATGTCAAGAATGGTGTTGAAATGAATGCTGTAAAAGTTACTATCAAACTAAAAATGAAAAAGAAGTCACACGTGCTATGAGAATGTTGAAAAATGGTAAGCCTATGAGTATAGAGCAGGGCTGTCAAACTCAAGGCCCAGGGGCCAGATCTGGCCCACAGGGTGCTTAGATCTGGCCTGTGGGGCTGCCGTGGAAACAGTAAAGGACTGGCCCACAGTGCCACTGCTGACAAAAACAGAGCTTGGGCTTGTGTGTGTCCTCCTAGCCCCCAAAAGCTGGCCAGAGGATCGCATGAGAAGGAGGAGGGTCTTCAGAAAGCCGCCACTGCAGCTCATGCTCACTCCTCACCTGTCCCCCTTCATCGCACCTGGATCCCATTCCCACCCCGCCACCCTCATGTTAGCAAGATTGGTGTCAGCCACAGCCAGGTTGGGCCAGTGTCTCAGAGTGGAGAACAGGTCACGCAACTGGGTCAACAGGGAGCCACAGGAGAACCACATGTGGCTTGGGAGCCACAGATTGTTGACACCTGGACTAAGGATAACTAAAGCTTTGCCTGCGACTATAAGGTATAATTTTATTTATCTATTTTAAATAGCCACTCATTTTATCATCCATAGTCACCATATAAGGGAGAGGAGGGGCATTTAACAAATTAAATAAATAAATCTCACAAGTAAGTGACTCTGGGGGATATACTACAAAACTAAAATAATAAATATCTAAAATCATTATCATTAACAAATATTAAAGCACTAGAACACTATGAAACAGGTAAAACAAAATTAATAAGACAAAGGAATTTTAATATTAATGGAGCTACCTCACTGTTTCACTCATCCTCTAGGGCAGCGATGGCGAACCTTTTTTGGTTCACATGCCATAAGCGATGGAGCGCAGGGAGGTCATGCACAGGTGTGCCATACCCATAATGCAATGTGCGACATCCCCCCAGCATGCATGTGTGCATGACAAGCATGAACCCCCATTTTTTACATGCTTTTTTCGCCCTCCCCTGGCTCCAGAGACCTTTATAGGAACCTGGTGAGGGCGAAAACAGACTCCCCCGCCCTCCCCCAGAGGCCTTCCGGAGGCTTCAGGAGCTTTCCTGAAGCATCCAGAGGGCAAAAAATGACCCTATGATCAAACAGGAAGTCACTTCCAGGTTGCTCGTAGGGCTGATTTAAGCCCTCCAGGGCCCTCAGGAAGCTTTCCTGAAGGCTCCGGAGGACTCCAGGGCCTTCAGGGAAGGCGCCTGAAGGCTCTGGAGGGCTTAAACCGCCCCTACGAGCAAACCGGAAGTCCGCTCCTGAACTTGCGGTTTGCCCATAGGGCCCTTTTTTTTTTCACTCCGTGGGCTTCAGGGAAGCTCCTGAAACTTCCTGGGGGGCGGGGGGCTGTTTTTGCGCTCCCCAGGCTCCTATAAAGCTTCTGGAGCCTGGGGAGGGCAAACAATGGCTTTAAAAAGGGGGGAACTCAGTTTGCCAGCGCACGCATGTTTGTTGGCGAGCTGACAGGGCAATGCCTCACATGCCCTGACAAATGGCTCTGTGTGCCACCTGTAGCACACATGCCATAAGTTCGCCATCCTAGCTCTAGGGTCTCCAGGGCTCGGGGAGGGGATTATGAAAAACTAGACAAGTAGATGAATTTGCATAACTTCAAATAATGTCTGTGGAGATTCTTGGTCAAGTACTAGGTTATAGTTGTCTCCACTGTTCCCTCTAAGGTGCGCAGCTGCGCA